GTCCCGTGTGTCGGGTTTCACCCTGGCTGCGATGACAGCCGTTAATCGCTGTAGTTTGTCGTTGCCCGTGTGTCGAGCCCTTAAGACAGGCAGCTGCTCCTCCTCATGGAGAGGTGAGCTGAGGTGGTTCAGGCATCTAATTATGATGTCACTTGGGCTTCTAACTTTGGGAKGTTTTCTAAACACATTCTRCAAAAACAAKCTCCTGGGGCAGACCCAGAACTYACTGGAGGGATTATGTATCACATCCCGGCCTGTCCTTGGCCTCCTCCAGGTGGAACTGAAGTAATAATCTCACCATGGAAATGTGAAATTTTAAGCCTTGATTTGTAAGCACAATTAAAACCTACACTCGTTGTCAACAAGGTGTCATGTTTCCAGACATTTATTCAAAAACTAGAAGAAGTAAAATATATCAAACAACAAAAACATTGTTAAGTGCAGAGTGAAAAAAAAGCTTTTGGAAAGATTTTCTTGGCTGTTTTACATAAGTTATTAGGTATATACATAATGGCACAGATGCTACRACAGACTTCACATCAATTTGTATTTAATAAAATAATCTCTGATGTGATTTTAATGAGTTAACCCATCATGAACAAAATACATATTTATTSTCACTTTGTCRGAATGAAAGGAAACACTGATGTTTACGACATCTCTGAAGAATGACTTGTCGACAATAAGCACACAGAAGAACATGTGTCAGAGTAGATAATCAAACAGGGATCAAATAAAGCTTTCATTTATGATTTGAGTCTCCGAACAGTATTTCCCCTGACCACCCGCTGACCYGTGTCCAAACCCGAGCTTGGACTCCACCCCAGTCTCTTCAGAGCAGACGTTTGCTTTTAATTCCTCCTCTGGCTTCCCTCCTGCGGTCCTTATGTTCCCAGACCTCTTTCTCTGGACCTGCGAGCTTGAAGCTGCCTCACGGGTAACCTGATGGGCTGCTTGTTGAACTTCTCCATGATTTCTCTGATTCGTGACAAGTTGGTCCGGATGATGGTGAAGTCGCACCTGGTGGCGCCCATGTCGTAGCCCACCTCGCACTTCTTGCTGGTGAAACCGTAGCCTTCAGCTCTGGCCGTTACTCTGTACTCTCCAGGGTTCAGCAAGCGCCAG